TTAATACGCACCGCGCGAAAAGCATCATTTTTTGAAAATTTATTTTATATCAAAAATTAACATTTGTTTAATTAAAATGTAAATTGGTACAAATGTAATTGGGAGACGTATGGGATTTAATACGCAGCGCGCGCGAAGCGCGCGCCTGTTATGTATGCACTAGTTATTTTAAAATCAACATGTGTAAAAACTGGACTTATAACTAACTGTGACAGATGTATATATATTGTTATTTAATTAAAATTCAATGGGATGGAAATTATGCTTTATGTGAACAATAAACTCGATGAGCTTTCATGAGGATATAAATGGAGAGAAGAGATGATATTAGTTATTTATATAACAATATTGGGGAACAACAAAACATCTGCTCAATTAAAATGCTATAGAAAACAATGCGCTAAAATTAAACTAGATATTTTTCTCTTAACACGCATATTTTATTATCAAGAATTAAGCCTTTCAGCTGTAAATTACTTAAATACGGAAAAATTCTAAGGTTTTGCATTTATTAAGAGAATTTATCCTTGGCTGCCTAATCAAAGGCTTAATTCTTGATCTTGGAGAGAATATTTTTCGTGAGTTAACAAACAACAAACATGCAATCATAATTTATTTCCACGTTCGTTTCGTGTCTATTACTATCCCGCCTGAGTTACTATACTGTATTTGTGATCAATACGAACCGCGGGATGCGAAGCGAACGGCTCGTATCTGGCACATTTAACGCTAAATATATTCGATTCTCACCTCGCATCAAATCTTCGTTTATATGCATAAACAATTTTTATATCGAATGACAATTTTATGTCTGTATTTTACGCTCCGTGCTGGATGTATAAATAGTTTAACGCGCGTCGCGAACGTGAAGGGAACGCGAGCCGATGTCTTTTCGTTCCGCCAATTCGAGCGTGTACTCGGGGTGCTCGGGGAAAAGAAGAGACAAGTGCTGTGCTCGGAATTTCTCGGTGTGATCAGGTGCGAGGTGGTCGCGACAACATTGTTGTGATCGACGTCGGCGAGGACCAAGTGGCGCAAATCTATGGGCGATGCTCGCGCGTCCCCTTGCAGGGCTGAGTCAGTGTCCTATGCAGGGTAAGACTCTGACTCGCTCCTATAAGGCGTTGTGGAGCCGGTGCTGGTGCAAAGGTGCTCCGATAAGCACGTGCACGTACCATTCCGCGATATTCTGTTGTACATGTCCGGTGCAGCTGTACCTGATGGACGTCACGACTTCCAAGAGTGATAGACACGGCTCGGCAACCCATAGAAACTCCAGAAGAAGAACTTGACGAAACCACGGCGGAAGCTGTGACGCACAAAGTAACGTTGGCGATTTAGTTTTAAAACTGCCAAGATGAATTTATACCATATTGTATGGATAATTTTGAATTGAATAATCTTTGTTTCTTATTATACGCTTAATTATACGCTTAAAGAATACGAGTAGGTATACTGCAGATCGTGGGCATGAGCATTATATTCGTAAAATATTCTGAACATGTAAGTGTCGGCAGCAACGAATCAAGATTATCCAATTGTTCAATTATAATTTATTTAAAAAAAATTATCCACAAGCCATGGTAATTTCAATTTAATACTTTTGTTCCCTTAAACCTTTATTTCACTACTAATCACATAGTTTCGTCATCTCTTTCTTCATGAAAATATTTCATGGAAACAGGGTAGTTTATAAATCATGCATGCTACCAAAGTAAGCCTGATCCTTTTAAGAGAAATATCCCGGCTGTCGGGGACACAATTCACGTACATATTTATTTTTACATTTTTATTTGTTGCAGAGAAAGAAATTGAAAAATAGAGGTCGCAAAGTTTTCTCATATACAGCTCATATATTTTTTACGATATACGCGGAAAAAGAAAGATTTTTTAAAGAAAAGTCGTGCTTTACCGGAATCGCCTGATTGCCCAAGAAAAGTCCCGCAAGGACAATACAGAGAGAGAGAGAGAGAGAGAGAGGGTTGTAATCCAATTATTACATTACTGCGCCGTTGTTATTATTATTCACCGTCATTACGAGATCGTGGATTCCGGACGCAGAAACATAATGATACCGGCGTATCGTGTCGTACATGAATATTTATGAGACCGAGGCATATTCTGTCGATATAGCACGCGGAAAATTGAAATCCGCGCGTTCGTCCCGCCGATGCCCGTAGCGTCCGCACATAGCGGAGCGTTCGACGTATTACTTTTTTTTATTATTTTTTTTCCGAAGGCCAATAAATAGCGGCAATGCCGAGTCAGTAAGGAACAAAACATGCACGCTGCACGTGTGACGTGTACGCGGCGGGTTTATTCCCATTCCCATTTGCGGGCGAAGCGAAATTATTTTGATTGCTCTCCGAAGATTCGCGCGACTTTTCTCGATGGACGTCGGTCGGTCAGCGACGTTCACGGAGCCGGGGAGTATTTAATATTATTTACACGTATTTAAAAACAACATCACTGCGGTGCCGTAGCGCTTAGTTCTATGACGATACGAATCGCTTATTTTGCATATATCGGAATCTCGGTCTGATCGCGATCGCGTTTCCATTATCGCGGATATATTCAGCATTCAAACTGATCGTTTGTGTAAACGTGTTAATGGCAACGACGTTCCTGTTCCTGTAATAACTTCGGGCATCCTCTCCCTCCTCTTTCCCCCACCCCACCCCTCCATCGAAATATCTCTAAAGTTGGATGAGCTTATCTTGTGCTATATTGAATTAACTCTCGACGAGGTAACGACGGTTAAATGATCGCTGGCAATCGAGAGTCTTCTTAATTAAAAGCCTTAAGATAAAGCTGCTACAATAAACTGTAATAAGCGATCAGACTATACAGATCTTTATAGTTTTACAAGGTGTATACACTGCATGTACAAAACATATCCTACTTGACGATATCCCTTATATCGATATGACCTTATATCTTATTTTGATAACTTGAGGGTTAATAAATACAATTTGAAAATCGACATAATTCACAGTGTCACATTTTAACAAAATATGAGATGTATAAACGTTAATAGAAACTCAAAACGTGTCAACTGTGTATAGCGACTTTAAGAGCGACTCGGATATTTTGTAACAGAGATTCGTGTTTAATTTGTGTAGATCCGCTAATTAGCATATAGAATAATTTAAGTTAGTCCTTGCGTATCGCGATAGGCAAACTTATGATACGAAGCACCGCACGGTATCCGAGATGTTGAAGAGGGAAACTTTCGCGGGAAACTCTTAACAAATGACGAGAGAATTTGTCGATGCTATATCTACGTATTTGCTTATCTCACGAAGTTGATTGTACCGGCGTGCACACGAGGACTCTCAAGAAATAATTCTCGGATTACGATACCGGCGCGGCGGCGTTACGAAGAGATTCAACTTTCGTTACAATACGCTAAAATTGCGAGACGATTTAAAAAAAAAAAAACATTGCAAGCAACAGAAAAACAGCAAAAAGCGATCGTTCTGACGATTGAGTAGAAGAGCAAAAAACTTACTACTTATTCATCCAGCAATAAATTATAGGGTTGTACATGCTGTTGGACATCGCTAGCCAATATGCGATCAGATAGAGTTCATACACGTACGGTTTAGTTTTAATCTCTGGCAGATAATAGTACGCTATGAAAAATGTATGAATCGGAAGCCAGCACACCGTGAACATTACTACTACGACTATCATCATTTTTACGACCTGAAATGTAAAGAAAATTCGTATCTTATTTTATATATCAGTCAAGATATATAAAAGACCGGTCGTTTCTCCACGATTAATTCACTATGGAGTTAGATTTTTCCGATAAAGGTAAAGAAAGCAGGGGCATTGCTTTCAGTTACCTTAACAATTTTATGGAGCAAAAGAAATTTACGTTAATGTGCGTTTTATAACGGAACAATCACAAAAATATGTTTTAAATTTATCATATAATTTATATATATATATATACACGGAGAGATTTTTTTTTTAAATTTACCCTGCAAATCATGTTAATTATGGGACAATATTTAGGCAAATTTTACTAATTTGTGCACTACAATAAGATTTCGCAGTAAAATTTATTGTAGTGCACAGTAAAATTTTCACCTAAATACTATATTGTCTCACAATTAACATGATTTTCAGGGTAAATTTTAAAAGAAAATTCTCTCCGTGTATGTATA